ATGGAAAATGCCCTATATAGAACCCTATGCTGGCCAGGTGGGCGGGGCGGCGACTCTTCACTAGCGAACGGCGCTATCCTCTCGCCTTTTTGAGATGCAAAACTAGTACATACTGCATCCTCATAGGGAGGGCTAATATCCAGAGAGGTGCGGGAACATCAAATGAACGTGGGCGCTGCCTTTAATGGCACGAGAGGATCGTATTTCGAGTGTTGCGAAAGGTCTGAATCACCCTTTCACTGACATTGACTTCAACAGGTTACTTTGATGCGGTGATAATACATAGTGGCATCGTTTCAGGACAAGGACGACACAACCATAGAGGTTTGCTTGGAACAATTAGCTCGAGCTATATCTGCCCATGTGACCGACATACTAATCGAACGACTTGGTCTCGAGGAACGAATAGCCCAAACGAATTCCTCCAATGAAACAACAAAGGAATCATCGAAGATCATGACTTCCTCAATGTCTCCCCGGTCCGATGTGGATGCCCTCCATGTAAAGGTCAGCTCAAATTGCATGTTACTCTTTGCTAGCAGTAAGGGATTGTTGGGATTTCAGCAAAGTGGTTCTCGATCCCTGTCTACACCGCGATCACTACCGCAAAGTCCTACACCGTGTCCAAGAAGTCGACTTCCTCGCCGAGTAACCAGCAGTGAGTTCATGACGACAACCAAAATCGAATCATTTAACGGTATAAATACATTTTAGCAACGCGACAACCACAAGTGCAATTCGACAGAAAATGTTCAGGAGCCCGAGGAGATGTCAAGGTACGTTGTCGCATGAATCTGTAGTGCCAATGGGCTATGCCTTCTCCGCTCTTATTTGACGCACTCGGGGACACGCTAGTAAATCTTAGACTGCGCACCATCTAGGGTTACACTAAGCAGCTTGGCTCCCTTATCTTTAGATACATGAGAGCGAGTCACGAAACCCGAGTTGCGGCGGAGCGGCGGAAGCGGCGGTAGCGGCGCGTACGTAATATGTTAGTAGGAATCTGGCAGAGTCTTGAGGAGAAGTCGAGCAAATCAGCGCGCTTTCTCGTCCTTTCTTCGGGTTAGTTTCTTGCGAGTCGCGTCTCCTCGGATTTAGTCGCGTCTCCTCTGGAATTGTCTGCACCCATCGTCTATATCAGACAATACTTGCTGAGGGTGAGAAGAGCGTCATACCGGTTCGCGTCCAGTGGTATATCAGGCCACCAGGTAGTTTTGGCCGTAGCATGATCGTTTTAGTAGTAAAAACCGAACCTGCACACAGAAAAACATTTACCACAAGCCAGATTTGCTAAACAGTTGGGCGTCTTCGCATTGTAATTTTGGGAGCGAAAAAAACGGATAGCGTTAGTTTGCTCCTTTAAAGGCGCAAAAAACCGCTCGATCAATCGACATAGTGGATTAGGGGGTCCCGCTATAGACGAAAGGCGCTGTTAGTATCTCGAGAGTGAATAAAAGCCACATAAAAGAATATGTCCCACCTGCCCTATATAGAACCCTCATGCTGATCCCATACGGTGTATTAATAACTCTATTCTAACTCATTACTAAAGCCTTCCATACGCCCACAGCTGATTCACCGATAAACTTTACGACGTACAAGTGACATTTCATTGCTTATTCGAACCCACACCACTAGTTTCACTGAAAGCGGGCATGGGGGCGAAGTCACTCTGGAGGCGGAGTCACTGGAAAAAGGGAGGAACCACTGAACCTATATTGCGCTATAGCGCCCCTCCCTTAGAATTTTTTGCCGCGAAACCGGTACAAGGTTGTTCGTCGCGGACCACTCTAACCTCCTGACGCCATATTTCAACTTCGATACCTGATCGCGGACCGCTGATCCTTAACAAATGATTCAGCCCTCGATGTCAGTATGGAATCCCGGGTCCGGGGGACAGGTTGTCGAAGTCAGTCGATTATAAGTCCTTCATCGTCTGCGCGCAAGTCGGGACTGCGTTTCATACTACCGTTGGAACATAATCGAGGATAAGAGACGCTTTCATGCGGCCACTGAAGAGCCATTTTCCTAGGCGATTTCCTGTTTGAACGCTTGCATCATGACTTACGCTTCTGCATATGCCTTTTCGATGAACTTCATCTGCTCCGGCCCTCTCTCCGCTAACCCTGCTCGGCGATCAAACGCGAGGGGCCATGAGTCAATGATGAAACTTATATCAGCCAAGCTGTGCAAAAGGCGCATAACATGTGTGTCTCCATGGGGCCGATATAATGATTTCGCGAGCAATTCCAGGGGGGGGTACTGCGCCTTCGTCCTGCTTTCCCATACTCATAATCTTGTGCCATTGTTTCAGTTGCTCTCGCTATCATAGCGAGAATCGCTTGAATCGTATCGAGCCTCCACCGGATCTCAACGAAACCCCATTAGAGAATCGAGCAAGTCGATTACGACGAGCCAATGCGCAAAAGAAAACTAGCCAGTCGAGGTGGTTCAACGGATTTCCTACCGGGAATCGGTCACTAAACACCAGCAAATTTTTTCAGACTTATCAGCCCTATGAAAACTTATTCTTCGTCTGGATCATGTCTTGTTAGACAAATAAAAACATCATTCGTTGTCGATATTAAATTTGAGGAGCTCTCTAATTTTACATATGATAAATGCTCTTCGGAAATGCGTACAATATGTGAACCTATTTGTTCGAGACAGTAAAAAGAAGCAGCAAGAAAATTCCAGTTGCAAAATTTGGGAAGGTTGCCCTTTTCCCAAGACACTGCCCATGTTGTGCGCATGGGAGACGTCCAGCGGTGCTACTCGCGGCATTGACGAGTAAGTCGTGCCACTGCCAGTGACTGCGCCTTCCACCTTAAAGGCACTTTCCGCGATAAAATAAGGCTATGACCTTTCAAATGTGTCAGACGATCCGGAAGGAGATTGCGGAGGCTGCGCTACCTTTAGAAAGTGAAAATCCGCAAGAATTCCGCTTCAAGCTAACCAATTAGGCCCAAGGGCGCCCCTTAGGCCCATGCCGACCCCCACCGGCTGCTAGCTACTAGCTAGTAGCCACTATGCTATCTCTCTCCATTCCGAATGGTGAGAGTGATACGATAAAAGAGCTGATATCTTTATGATAACGACGAGTGGAAATTCGTACAAACATGCGTTTTCTTCATTGCATGCATGTACAAGTTGGGGTCGATACGGTATCCTATTTAGGGCATTTTCGGCTGTTTTTCTGCTGCTTTTCTCCGCTACTCAGATACCTAGCCCTTTTTCGTTCCTATGTGGGTTCCGTTACCCACAATCTGTTCTTTTTCTCGTGCTGTCGCTAGGGCTTTGCCATAATGCGTTGTGACTGCGTCTAGGCGCGTTCACACTTTTGCGCAGCGTCCCTTTCCAAACAGCGCCACACCAGCATTCCCGTTGCAACGTCAGCCGACAAGTGAAAGGTAGGATATCGCACCAGGGAGCGTCCACGAGCGTCGAACCAGTGTTTCCGCCAGCGTCTTAAGGCTATTGGGAAGTATTAGCGTTATGATCTAGCGAACGGTCAGGTTTTCTACCAGCGTCCACAACGACCAGCAGTCGTTCAAGTCAGAGTATGGCGACGATAAGTGGTGGCAGCAGCTGGTACCCTCCCCATCGTCCAATACTCTTCTTACCAGCAGTCTAGTTCTATTTTTCCTCTATCTGCCCCACAATCTACAGGCTACCTGCTACCTTTTACCGCACAGTGTTCGCCACTTCGCTGGACCTGGTTGCGTTGCTAGAGTCAGTACTATACATCGCTTCTCAACGACGCTGCTGAATCGCCGGGGATGTACACAAGCCGCAAAAGATCGATGTCAGCTTCAGAACAGTTTCGAAATAACCTCTGGGTCTGTTTGACTAGAATGGCAGTTGCTAGCGGTGTAACGCATCAACCGTGAAACTTATAAGGTTTCTATATGGTATTTTTTCGACAATCAGTTGTATAGGGGTTTGTTAGGGCCAGAAACGCTTCCAAGAACCTGCGTGACTCCAAACGGACTTCATGGTGCATACCACAAAGTAATCGACCACGCTCAAGCAGTTTTGGCCCTAATTTATACCGTAACAGCACAATATCCTAGTAACTGACCTGTGTTCACAACATCGTACACCGTGGGCGGCTTCTCACCAGCCACGACACTGATCGGTCGGGTGAGATTCATGTGGATTTGGATATGGCCGGAAAACGTCTCGCCATCATCGTTCTGGAAACATCGGATTCAAGTCACAAGGAACTGCAAGTTCCCTTGAAGGGCTTACCATTTTCATGCAGAGCCCGTCGGCGGTCTTGTTGTATTCCTCGATACTCTGGGCGAGATTGTCATCCCGGTAGGCTGGAGACCATTCGAATGGGGTGTCCTCCTTCACATACACCTCCTCTATCCGCAATGACTAAATCACGACAATATTAGTTCACTATGGCACACACTGATTGATTAATTAGTTGAATCGCCAAAAAATAGTGTGCTGCGGATGCTACGGACTGTCAGGGGTAGTCCCTCAGAACCTGGGGCCAGATCTTCTCCCATCATTGGGGGGCGCAACCAAGGCAGAAAAATGGGAGTACGTAAGACAGGCTACGAGAAGTAGGCACGTAACTGCTGGCGAGCGACCCAGAGGCAACGCCCGACGCCATTTAAGAAAAGTTCTGCAAAACCACCCCCTTCCGCCTCGAATTTCCACTCTGGTAGCGGAAATCCCCCTGCGTCCCAATCCATTCCTACAGAAAAATATCCTGAATTTTCCAAGAGCAGTTTTTCTGTTCTGCACCCACTGACTGTCCGAGGCCCTGACAAAATCCCTCCACACGAACTCACTCCCGTTGCCATCTCAAAAAAAACTGCAGTCGAGCGCGACGAGGGTACGACTACTCTCCCTTGTAGCGACCGCAAATAGCGGCCTCCTTGGATTGGGGATCGCACTATGAAGAAGCCGGATTCTAAAACTGCTCCGTGCTCGCCAGCCTAAAGCGATAAAGCTGCCAGACCTTGATGCGAAAACATTTTCCTGGGGAATGCAGAGATGATCTCCACTTCCACTGCATATTGTACCTAACTTCAAGGACTGATGTGGTGCCGATGAATGACTATGGATAGCCGCGCTGAACCTTAGAAAAATCAGTGCTGGGCTAGTTAATACTGAAGCAAATATGCTTAACAGCAACTGTTGACCCTGCGAGTGGAAAACTCGGCTCGTCGCCAGACGGCCGATCGAGATTGTGAACACAGAACGGGTACCGCGAAAATTAGCCGGCGTGCAGCATGTTTGTTATCCATTGGTCTCGATCCAAATCGACGAACACGCTTAAGTGATCAGAGTGAGAGGATGAGCACCCCTCAGATGGATATCAGCGATCTTATGCAAGCACCAGCTCTGATGTCAGATACTGAGCATTCCCGATGCTAACCCTTCACAGGTAGAAATCGGTCCATGGGCTAACAAAAGAAGAGCTGAGGCAACAGAGTGCACAACGATGCTCCTCTTCCTATTCAAAACAGCACCTGAGCTGTTTCTAAGCTCCATTTCAGATGTCCAACTGATGCACGTTAAAAAAAACGGACCTGCAAACCGAAAACTATCCAGAGAAGGTCAGATATGTGATAGTTAGAGGGGGCAGGAATCCCTAACTGATCACGCAGCAATATCAATGCGACTTTCAAAATTTTGAAAAAGGCCACAACCAGACGAAAAAAAACTAGCTTACCTGTCCGGCGACTGACCCCTGCTGCTGTTGCTGATCGATCAGAGGATGAGCGAGAGCTGACGAGGGATGCTCGATGCGGGACATCTTTGATGGTGAGAAGAGCGGATTCTAAATGAAACACATTAACAGCAGCATCGCTCAGCGCGAAAGACGAAACGAAAACAGCTCAGATTAAAGCGAAGCGTCACGTCAGGCTTCCCGATTTCTCAGGGGAAGCGCTTATAATCCGATGGTGCTGATGTCATGTAATCGCATAAGGAGGGCGAGGAAAAAACCGCGGAAAGAGGATGAGAAGAGGGTGAAAGCATGGCGAAGTGAACGGAGGACATACCTCGAAAGATGTTTCGTTCTCCTTGTCAGAGTCCCCAAAGGATGAGCTCAGTTGGAGCGGTGGCAGATGCAATTCTTTTGGAATAGTTCCAAGGGTGCCATCGAGCAGTTTGGGATAGATTGAAGGGAATTCGCCTGACGCCAACGATGAGCCGGCTGACCGACACTCCAACGTCACCAGCTCTTGACACCGACTGTGGCAGGTGTAGTTGCAATCTGTAAACTACGTCGATCATTTAGGAAAAAATAGCTACTTTGTTCCCATACTTGGAGGCGGTCTGTCCTAAAGACACTTTCCGCGATAATCAGATGGGCGAAAGACGGGGCGTAGACCCGGAACAACCGTGTCTTCCCTCCAGCCTTGATCCGTCCTTGCTTCCACTACGGTAAGTCGAAGAAATCAGCGATAACTGAGCTGAGACACAAGGTTGTGAGTCTACGCCCATTTGCCCGCCAACGGGATTATCGCGGAAAGTACTTTTACACCTACGATACTCTCTGGTATGAATAACATTTTGAATTATCTTGGTACGTGAACCAGTTAGGTAGGCTTGCAACTAAAGGTCACTGAATGTGAAGGTCACGGCCGTGGGGATACGCCGTGTATTTATCATTCACTGGAATCATCGGCATTCGAATCGTGTCGAAGCTGGCATGCTGCTTGCAGGCCGGCAATGTTAAGTATGTAATTGCCTCGCAGCAGGGAAGCCTCATACAACCTAGTAGCTGGATTGCGACAGATGGGAGGGGGTGGGGGTCGTACCGAGCAACGCTCTTCAGGGGGAGGGTCCGTATGGCACCAACAATTTGCTGACACCACATTTAGCACATCGATGCATGTCCCTGCCCAGTACAGCTCGGCAGAGGTAAGAGAGCGATACCCTAGGTGGTTCGTTAGTAATACGTTAGGCGGTAGCCCCTAGAACTTCAGCCTTGAAAACTTTGGTCTGCTTCAAGATACCTCGCAGGTGGTAGTGGGCCTTTCAGGGAGGAAAACAGCATTGGATTCCAGAAGTCACGGTGTAGCGCGAACGCCCAAAAGAAGCATCTAGGATTCCGAGCAGAAAGATAATGCATGGCGTTCCTAGGAAATGGTCGTGCACGTGACCTTTTTTACAGTCCTATGGATTTAAACTCACTTTCACATTTGGAAGCCTGTTTCAACAAACCCCAAATGAAGTCGCCACATTTATCGCACCACGTCGGATGCACGAGGTTGATGGAACTGGAAAAGGACACATAAGGAAGTTCAAGAACACCTAATAAATATGTCAGACAACAGTAAAAAAACAAGTGTGTCAGGAAAATCGTACACAAATCGATGACTGTCTGCTTTCGCGCCGCCGGTAGTGACCAGACCTTTCAACGGACCAAAATGTTGTCGTTCCAAAGTGTCATTCCACACATGAGTGGAATCTAGGTCGGCCAGAAAGGACGCACCAAAATCCCAGTGCTGAAATTCATTCTTTGTTTATTCTAAAGGTAATTATCTAAGCAACTACAAAAATAAAAAAAAACATTGGGGGAAATCCAATTGCTACGGCTGGGTTCATACTTCATGACTATGACCGGCTGCGCGCCACCGCTACTCCTCGGACTGCATTTCTAGTTGAATCACTCGAAGGATCTCTCTTCTTATCATTGCCACTGTCCAACGATTAGTGGATAGGCCTAGTCCTGCCATTGGACAAAAATTCTGCAAAACACCCCCCCCCCCCATATTTCACGCTTTGGGACCAAAAGCAGCCCCTCGCTTAGGATACCCAATGCCTTGTTGGTGATGAAGCGCGGAAACGCGCGAGTGACTCGCTCGAGTCGCGAAGTATGAACGAGACCTAAGATGGAATCACCTCGTCATCCCACTCCGGCATGGCTGTGCAGTCATCGAGAGATATCGAACGGTAGGATATCGAATCGTCATCATCATAGCGACGAGCAGACGTTGCCGGTGAAGACTGAAAGTTGGTTTGTAAATATAAGCAACTTCAGCAAGTCCAAAAATGTTGCGGTATCTGGAAAGCAACATGTTTTTATAATGTTTATTTATTCATTTTCATATTTTTAGTCACATCCTCGAAAGCACGGTCCTCGACGCGATTATGGACGTACGTGTTAAATACTGATTTGTGAAGGGAAGAGAAAGTGCCAAAGGGGACATCGGAAACGCCTTTAATAGGACCCCTCCAATTTCAAGCAATCGTACAGGTAGAAGGCCAAAAGAGTGCGTTTGCACGAGTTTAGAAGGTTGATAGCTTGCAATGGACCTTAGAGTATTAATGAAATGGTTCGAATTTTCCAAGCCAAATAATCTATATCCATCTACTATCTGGTTTCAGGCAAACGTGTAATAGGAAAGATAAGAATTGATTGAGGATGGGAATGGTACCCTGCTGCTAAGCTTTTCAGCGCAAATCGGCGACGCGGGGTAGGGGGAGGGCACTTTCCACATTA